TATATACTTGTGAAGGGCTGTAGGTAATTAATGAAAAAATATTAAAAATCACTTTTACCAACGCTGGACTTATGCGGACTATGATGATTTGTTTATCGATAAATAATATACGAAGGGCTTACCAGTACAGACGTCCATACTGACCGACACTTTTGATTCCATTATATGTTTTCTTTTAATTATAGCATAAACAAGCAATAACAATTTCTAAATTAAATACAATGCCCTTCTCTTAAAAATAGAATTTACGTCTCTTTAAAAAATCAATTTAACTACGGCTGTTAAAAATAATAAGGTAGCAGCTTAGTTGTAAAGCGTAAATGCTGGAACATTGTATGGCTGCTTGCGAATGCCTGTATCTCTGGGGACTCGTAGCCCGGTACCTACGGACGTAGCAGGGACGTAGCGACTACGGTAACGAAGATAGAGCTACGAGAATGATAGAATTGAATGATTTTTTTTTATTTTCACTAAATATTTTCGAAGGATTGTTTATAGGTAATACTACAAGATTTCGATAGCTAATTATAGGTGATCTTTTTGCGAAACTTCATGTTTCTTTTCTTAATTTTAAATGAATAATACATAAAACTAGAGAAAATAAGGAAAAAAAATTACTATTTCAGCTTGTTTGAGATTATTTTTACAGAAATTTAAAGCTGGGCTATTAAAAATTGTCAAAGTAATTATTTTAAATCTTTTTGACGTTTTTAATTTTTTAGACGCGTCGGGCGATTTTAGGGTGAGTAAATTCTTATGAGTTCGTGTCATGGACGAGCTTACATTAACAGTATATCTGCAGCTATATGTATGACTTGTTGCGTAGCAATGAAAGTACAGATTACACAGCTTAATATTTTTATTTACAAATTAACAAATTTTAATTTTTGATGCTATAATTATTTAAAAACCAAAAAAAGCACTATTATATCCTTATTATAAATTTTTACTTCCGTCGGCATTTTTCAATGAATGTTATTTTTTTAATTGTTTAAAATATTTAATTGCTTTAAAAATAGACCTGCACCAATAATTTCGTCTAATTCGTTATATTCGTTTCGTAATAATATCGTGACGTATTTGATTGTGGCGATTTTAAGTTTTCATCATGGCCTTAAGAGCACAACGTCTATCGAACGATTTCGTATTTAATACTATACTTTAAAAACACAATTTTAGTCGCCTTATTAGTGCAGGTGGCGGTAATTACCAAATGCATGATTGGCAATTGATTTAAAAAAATATTTCTACTTACCTTCTATAGTATAATATTTACCATCATCGTTCATGTGTCGTGGCGGTGTAAGGATATCCTCTAAAATGTATCTTACCGTAAGTATCGTAAAAGGCTACATGGAAAAAAAACAACCCATCGTCTGCAGCATCTTTTTGATAAAAACCGAAAGTAATAAAAAAATAAAAAAAAGTCCACTACTAAATCACCATTTATATATATATATATATATATATATATATATATATATATATATATATATATAATATATATATATATACATATAAATGGTGATTTAGTAGTGGACTTTGATAGACTGTTATGGATCAGTGATTGAATGGATCTTTTTTTATAGAATAAGGGTAACAAACGAGCACACAGTCCACCTGATGGTAAGTGGATGCTGTGGCCCATAGACATCTACATTTATCTTCAATTAAGAATCAAAATGCAGATGCTTTGCCAGCCCTGAGGACTGAGATGGAATGCCTTGTTTCCAGTAAAAAGGGTCTCCGGTACTCTACACTCACCATACGAAGCACAGCAGCGTTAAGCTGCTATTTTACGCTGGTATTCTGTGGGAGCGTGGTCCTACCCCGATCGAGCCGACCCATTAGTGCTGCAACCACGATATAGCTGCAGCATGGCACTATCACGAATAAATGATGGGTGGATGAACACAGATCATCACTTATTAAATATGAAGAGTTGTAAACAAATACAATGTTTTGTATTAATTTGTTGTCAGTCTCAAAATATTTATTTCCTCTATAGCGTTCTACGGTAGCTGAGACGAATGTAATCAGTATCGTTCATCGCCCCACGCAACCGGTAGTTGGATTTCTTGAACCGTGAAATTTTATCAAGAAAATTAATCTCGTGAAAGTTTCCCCTTGGACACCGTACTCTTTTATTTTTTTTAAACCTATTTAAGCAGTTTTTGGTTGTTTATAAAATTCTCGTTTTCTTATTTCAAAATTTCAAGTTAATTTGGATATGATTTTAGGATTAAGGGGTTTTAATAAATCGTCGCGATGAAATAATCCCATTGGTTATTATTCATAATTTTCGTTAATGTTTTATTATGTAAAAATAATGAAGAATTTTTAAGATATTAAAATATTATTGCCTAGTACTTATTTTTTTATAAATATTTAAACATGGTCTCGCCATAACCGTTATTATATCACAATCACTACAGTATATCACAAGTCCGCAGCTGAACATGGGCGTATCTATAAATTTTCACAGAGTAAAATAAGCCTAAAAATTGCTTGCTTATACATTTCTTTATTAAGGCCGAAGTACACAAAACAAAGCGATCTAACCAAATATTCACCGTAGTTTCATTTACGATACGGTTCTGATTACGTCATTTATATTGTTTGCCGTCTAGTAAACACTGATATCAACACGAACTCATATTTAAATATAAAATGAATTTCAATTTACAATAGATGCATATAATAAATAATATGTAAGTATGATATCAAAGAAAATAGTGGATCAAATAAACAATTTAAAGCAATGTCGTGTTTAATGCAATATGTCATTTCAGATATCGATAATGTCACGAATGCTTGGAAAAATTGGGTTCTCAAACTCTATTAATATCTTTTAATCCCAATTCGGATAATTTTTAAAGGTTTGAAATAAATTCTATTTTCACTTTACAGCATTCATATCTGTTTTAATTCCCTTGCCGCAAAGGTATTGTTTAACAAACAACGTATCATTTAAGTCTTAACCGATTAATTGCAAGTATCATAGAGTATCAATGGTGAAGTTTATAATAACTAGTTGAAAATGTGTATTTGCTTCCTCTTCATAAGCCTTAATGCTACGAGTACGCAGAATTTTCATGAAGGTAGCAAATTTTATTGTTTTAGTGTTTGATACCTATAATAAAATTCAGCTCATAAATTTTCTAATGCTAATAAACTTTCTCTGTGTAAATTCATTAATTAATGATCCAAATTTTTAATGTTACTAGTATCTTGAGTGATCAAAATATCGGGAAGATAAAATAAAAAATTCATGTATCTATGCAGCCGCAAATTTTTAATTGATCACGTAATTAGTACTCTAGTAAATATAAGGAATTATTAGATGTTTATAATTCAGTATTTTGTAATATAAAGAAGCCTTAAATTTGATTAAGACATTCATATCTACCTTACGAAATCAACAGAAACCTTGTACACATAATTTAACAAAACACCGTTTTGAGATTTCCAACGTAATGCTTTTGTTCCTGTAAGCATGAAGGAGCTCATAAATAAGGTTGGAGGAGATGAATATTTTATAAATCCGTTGCCATTATCGGATAGGGTAAGGATGTCCGGACTGTTTCCTTTCGATTGGGGAAATCTTTTACGTCAGACTCGTGTATTTGTTATAGCGTCCGTTCACATGATTTTATAACGTCCGCTTGTTAGGCTGCTTGTTAGTAAGATGAAATAATTTACTAATTTATTTTAATTTAAAATGATGGAGTACTTCATATAATAATTTTCGCTTAGTCATTAATTTAAAAAAATGATGAAGATGAAGATGAAGATTGATGAAGCGTAAGTATTGTTACGCTTACAAGTGTACCATATTAAAGATTTACGACGTCTCTTAGCACGTAGCCCCCGTCTCATCTGAGCCGTGGTAGCTCAGGGGCCATGCCAAATTGTGTAGTTCCTTATTATTCGTTATATTTTAATGGATGTAGGTGTTTTAGGACCGTACTTTGTGATAACCTATAGGGGAGACGTATATTCATCAGTGGCCTTGTGATGTGCTGTAGGTCCACTGCAAAAATAATGGCAATAGTTTCTTATTATTATGTGGGGTATCTATATAGTTTTCTCATAAGGTTGGGTTCTATAAATATATAATTGTAAATTAAAATGAAAAGATAAAGATACATTAATATCAATAAAATAAAATAAATACAAAAATACATAAATAAATTAAAGCCCAAACAGATGGAAGCCCTCGGCAGGGAGACCAAACGGCCGAGGGTTTGGAGGAAAGGGAAAGAAACCGGCGGACGATGAGGGCGGTATCGAGGAGCACCACCTTCTGCATTTGAGACCGGAGCGGTCCGTCACGGAGTCCCAGCCGCCTCAGATGACCCGAGAGGCTGACTGGGATTAGCCCATTCGCAGAGACGACTACAGGAATAATTTCGGCCGGCACACCACCCCACATGTCGGTCACCTCGTGAGCCAGGTCCAGATATTTTGTTCGTTTATCTGTTTCGGCTTTCATGAGGTCGTTTCGTAATTGTGTGTTGATATAGACGTGTTATTGTAATTCGGAGCGATTTTAATCTAATTAATGTGTAAAAACTGTTTAGATCATTCTTTGAGTTATACCACCGTGTTTAGTGTATTAAAGTTGGTGAATCTGTGCAAAAGTTATAGCTAATTATTGTGTAAACAAGTGAATATAACCAAAAATTGTTTTAAAATATTCTGTTGGTAAAACTATTCACTGCATGGAGAACAAAAGATTGGCCTTTGGACTCACTAGACGTGATAAGCTTGTAGCAAGGAGTGCTTGACCATAGTTAGAACCATTCTTAAAATTCAAGTGCATCGTCGTTGACGGCGTGGTGTAGCGGTGCAAGCGTATTACTCATAGAGTGAAGGTCGGAAGATCGATCCCGACCAAACAAACTTTTTCCCCTTTATTTTTTTAATTTTTTTTTCTTTTCAATAATATCAGACTTTTTAAAATATTATTCCGTTTGCTGATATATTTTTTCTAAAAAATGTCTTCTACCACAAAGAAGTGCTCTGGCTGTAAGAACAATTTGCCAAAAAGGGAACATATGGTATGTGTCACGTGTAATCTCGGGTACGATTTATTCTGTGCTAATATAACACCTAAATGCTTCTACCTTATGGATCAAGAGCGGAAAAATAATTGGAGATGTCAGGAATGCTCTAGTAAACAACCCAAATCCGATAATATAAATACACCTGTGCGCACAACATATCGTCCCATGGTATCTGGCGATGATACCAATGTTGAAGAGGAGAGTAATATCACTGTACGGACAAAAAAACAGCGCTCTAAATCCGATACCAACGATTCCTACATTAAAGAAGATTCGTTACGTTCAATAATAAAGCAGGAGATAACTGACACCATCAAGCAATTGGTTTCTGAACACCTAACAAATATCGCGTCCCAGGTGACTGGCTTCCACGAATCTCTAGCATTCTTTAGTAAACAATATGACGAACTTATGCAAACTGTGAAGGAAAGAAACGAAGTAATACAGAGTTTAATTCAGAAAAATGACAATCTATCGTCGCAGGTAAGGAGTTTGACAGAGAGGATAGAGCAAATAGAGCAAAACATGCGTGCTCCTAACGTCGAAATCAATGGAATCCCAGAGCATAAATCGGAAAATCTTCTAAAAACTATAGAGCAGCTGGGATTTGCGATTGAAAACCCCCCTCGGTGACAATGATGTTTTGCACGTATCCCGTATTGCGAAGCTCAACAAGGAGAGCGACCGACCCCGCTCCGTAATTGTCAAACTACTTAGTCAACGCCGTCGCGATGAGTTGTTAGCAGCAGTAACAAAGTTTAATAAAAAGAATCCTGATAACAAATTAAACTCTGAGCATTTGGGAATTGGTGGACGTCGAGTGCCTGTATATGTTAGCGAACATTTAACACCGAAAAATAAGCACCTACATGCGGCGGCTCGAAAAAAAGCAAAAGAGACCGGCGCCAAATTTGTTTGGGTGCGGGACGGTAGGATCTTTGTTCGGAAACATGAACAGAGTCATGCCATCTATATTAAACATGAAGAAAGCTTGAAATTAATTGTCTAGTGTTAGAATCTCAATGTTACGATAGATTATCCTTCAAAATGTCTGTAACAATTTACTATCAAAACGTACGAGGTTTGAGGACTAAAACGGAGGATGTTCTTAAAAATATACTTATGAATAATTATAGCTTAATTGTATTTACTGAAACATGGTTGAATAGTAATATAATGAACAGTGAATTTATAGATAAACGTTACGTTGTATATAGAAAGAATAGATCATGCTCAAGGAGTTCAAAGAAAGACGGAGGAGGTGTGATGGTTGCAGTGTCTAAAAATATTCCTTCTTCTCGAAAATCAAATTGGGAAAGTAATGCAGAAGATTTATGGGTATCTATTGATGTTAAAACTAACGACACACTCCAAAAAATTTCTATCTGTGCCGTTTACTTACCTCCTCCTGTTTCTTCTGAAACTTTATCTAGCTTTTTAGAAAACTCTACTGATATCATAGATATATCAGATAAAGTCATAATATTGGGCGACTTTAACTTAGGTTTTATTGATTGGTCCCGTAAGTCGGATAGTGACCCATGTATTGCAACAAATTATGGTTCGAAACTAGGACTCTCTCTTATTGACTTTATGGCTGTCAATAATTTATCGCAAATGAACGATGTGTCTAATGTTGATGGTAGAATACTAGATCTAGTTCTATCCAATGTTGATTGTTTAAATGTTACTAAATCTATAAGTATGCTTAGCAAAGTAGATCAAAAACATCCTCCAATTTTGATATCGATCCCAAAACTTACTTCCGAGTACCTCAAGCCGATAAGAAGCCATCGTTACAACTACTTTAGAGCAGACTATGGCAATATTGTACCTTACTTGAAGAGCATTAACTGGCAAGTGGAGCTAGAAAAATGTCAAAATGTTAACGAAATGACTAATATATTTTACCACTTTTTAAATATAGCCGTAACATCCTATATTCCTAAAACAAGACCTAAACTAACTAAATTTCCTTCGTGGTTTAGCAATTCCCTAATTAAAATAATTTCCGAGAAAAGCAGAAAAAGATTAAAATATTTGAAATATAAGAACCCTCGTGATCAACTAGAATACGAGCTTCTTCGCGAACGTGCTCATAATGTAAGTAGTCAATGCCTTTTTAATTTTAAAAAAAGAATTGAAAGCGATATTTCTAAAAATCCAAAAAGCTTTTGGCGTTTTGTGAAGGACAGGCGCAATGGTGTATCCAATATCCCAGCTATAATGTATCAAGCTGATCATGTCGCAAACACCGGACCAGATATTGCCCAAATGTTTGCAAACAAATTTTCATCTGTTTTTAGTAAAGTGGCTGCAAACGACGGCCGTGACGTATCTATGTTCAATAATTCATGTTTAAATTCTGTAAAATTAACTGAAAGAGACATTATAGGTGCAGTCAAAAAGCTTGACATTTTCAAGGGAGCTGGCCCAGATGAGATTCCCCCTGTGTTCGTCAAACGTTGTATCTCGGCCTTAGCGTTACCACTGGCTATTATTTTCAATCAATCTTTGCGTGATGGAGTATTTCCTGATATTTGGAAAAATTCAAAGATCGTTCCGGTATTTAAAAAAGGCGTCATTAATGACGTTAGTAACTACAGACCGATTTCAATTATTTCATGTATTCCTAAATTGTTTGAATCCTTGATATGTCCAATTATTACGCGTCACTTAAGCACATGTATATCAGACCATCAACATGGGTTTAGGAAGGGCCATTCGATTGAAACTAACCTTGTATCATTTATGTCGTATCTCTGTAAAGAAATTGACAAAGGACAGGAAGTTGATGCTATATATATGGATTTTTCTAGTGCATTCGATAAAGTCTGTCACTCGCGCTTAATTAACAAGCTAAAAAGATATGGGGTATGTGGATCTTTTCTAGAATGGTTCCAGTCTTATTTAGCAAAAAGACTTCAGTTTGTGGTAGTGAATGGTTACAAATCAGAAAGTTATATAGCGTTCTCAGGCGTTCCGCAAGGATCGCATCTGGGTCCAGTCCTTTTTGCTGCCTTTATCAATGATATAACTTTTGAAATACGCAACTCTGAATTCTGTCTTTTTGCTGACGATTTAAAAATATACAAAACAGTAAAATCTATTGTAGACGTGCAACTCATCCAAAGTGATTTAAACAGAATTAGTACATGGTGTCAATTAAATGGTATGATACTTAATACTAAAAAATCATATCACATTAAATTCTCAAGAAAGTCTATACCTCTCATGTCCTCCTATAAGATGAACTCTGATACCTTGGAGCAGGTTAAAGAAGTTCGAGATTTAGGCGTAATAGTGGATAGCAAATTAAATTTTAAGTCTCACATTGACGCTACCGTCCAAAAAGCTGGAAGAATGCTTGGCTTCCTAAAACGAAACGCTAAAGGTTTTATGTCAGCCAAAACCAAAATAATTTTATATAACGCCTTGGTTCGAAGTCACCTAGAGTTTGCATCGGTGGTTTGGGGTCCTCAGTTTATCACTTATTCCCAACGCATTGAAAGCATACAGCGTTCATTTACAAGACATCTTGCGTTCCATTCTTCGGGCATTTCCCACCGTAACACCTATAACGTTCGTCTCAAACATTTCGCAATGATGTCACTTTGTGACCGTCGTGTATTGTTAAATATATTGTTTTTAAAAAAAAAATAATTTCTGGTGCCGTAGATTGTAATAACCTACTTCAGTGCATTAATCTTAACATCCCATGCAACTATCCACGCCATCCTATTACTAAAATCTTTTACATCCCTGCTAGTAGAACAAACCTCTTAAAAAATTCGCCTATATCAAAAATTTGCGCCGAATACAACCGGGTATGTGTATTTGTTGACATTGACATTTTTTATGACTCATGCATTAGTTTGAGAAAGAAGTTATCTGTGTACCTGCTCTCTAAGTAGGTTCTTAAAATTTCTTAAAATTTTGTAAAATTGTTTTGATAATCTGTGTACTATTTTTGTGCTTTTTTTTGTTTTCTAATATTCGTATTTATAATAACATGTCTTAGATTTTAAGAGAATGTTGTACACGTCTTTATTGACGTACATACCAGGCCTTTGTTTTATGTAAGATTTGCATATAAATGTATTGTGTGTTATGCTGTTGATGTGTCATAATAAATAAATAAATAAATGAGGTTCTCGTCATACGGAATGGTAATGTCGACCAAAAATATCCTTGACTGTGCCCGGTCCATCAGCACAATATCAGGCTTATTCGCAAGAATAGTCCTGTCTGTGATGATGGCCCGGTCCCAATAAAGCCTGGCACGATAATTTTCGATCACGGCTTCCGGCAAGTACTTGTAATACGGAAATTTTCGGTTCACGAGACCGTATTTCAGAGCGAGCTCCTGGTGTAGAATTCTGGCTACTAGGTTGTGCATGTGCAAGTACTCAGAGTTAGAAAGCGCCGAACAACCGGAGATCCGGAGATGACATGCCTAAGTGACTCCCCGGGATGGCGACAAGCTTGACAGACGTCGACAGTGCAATCCTTTAGGATGTATCTCCGATAGTTTATTATTATTATTATTTTGTTTTATTGATAGAGTAATCATATCTGGTTGGGCTGGATAAATACATAAAAGGAAAAAATATGGGGTCTTTGTAGAAGCATGCTCGTCGCGACACCTGCCAGGCCTTTTCAGGGCTGCAATTCTATACAGCTGCGCACCCATGCAAACGAGAGTTAGGGCGTCCCCCCAAGGCGACGCACACCAGCTCGTCCCCGTTGGTGTGGAATGCAGCGCGCAAAGCGGCGATGGGGACCGCAACCCGCCACGCACAGCCCGACACGGCGGAAGGTGGAGGACGGAGTGCAGAGTTGGCACGTTGAATGTTAGAGGGGGCATGAGAGATAAGACGAATGAGTTGATCGAAATAATGAAAGAAAGAGAATTAGATGTCGTGTGTATGTCGGAGACCAAACGGAAAGGCAGTGGTACTGAAGAGCTCCCTGGCGGGACGTTAGCTATATGGTCCGGAGTCCCGGAAAGTGAGAACGCCTGCCAGGGAGTGGGGGTGCTCTTGTCGTCCCGGTTGGTCGATCTTATGACTGAATACAAGGTTGTGAACTCAAGACTTCTCTGGGTTCGCTTTAAACTGGGACTGACGAAGTTATTCCTTTTGGCTGTTTATGCGCCGGTAGCTTCGTCGTCCAGGGCTGAGCTGGAGGAGTTTTGGGAGAATGTAAGAGAAGTTCTAGACTTGGTAAAGGGAAACGAAAGAACTGTTGTGTGTGGTGATTTGAATGGATGGGTAGGTATCGCTCGACCGGGATACGAGTCGGTGCTTGAAAAGTTTGGGGATATAAGGGTTAATGATGCTGGCAAGCTTATACTGGCTGTATGCAAGGAAAAGGATCTTCTTGTGACAAAAACTACGTTTAATCACAGGAAAATCCATATGTACACTAGAGAAAGAAAGAATGAGAGAAGTATGATTGATTTGTTCCTGGTGGATGACCGACTGCGTAAACAGGTGATGGATACACGAGTGTTCAGGGGTGCTGACCTGGGAACTGATCACTATCTGGTAATTACTAGATTTAGGGGTTTGTTCGCGGGTTGGCGTTACCGGACGGCAGTAACAGAACTACAGTCAGTCTGTCGCATCCGA